ATGGACACTTGGATTGGAAAACCCCTCAGTGGGCAGGAGAGATGGTTCAGTGGTTAAGAGCACTGACTGTTCTTTCAGAGGACCTGGGTTCAGTTCCCAGTACCCACATGGAAGCTCACAACTGTGTGTAACTCCAGTTCCAGGATTCCTGATACCCTCATACAGACATACATGTAGGCAAAACACCAGTGCGCATAAAAAAAAAGAAAAAAGAAAAAAGAAAAAACCCACAGATAGGTTAAAGGATGTAACTAAAGTTCAATTCAAGTAATGGAGAATAACACCTGTGTGCTGTTTGTCAACTGGATACAAGCTGGAGTGGTCTGGGAAGAGGGAACCTCAATGGAGTAAATGCCTTCATCAAACTGGCCTGTAGGCAAACCTGTGAGGCGTTTTCTTGACTGATAAGTGATGTGGGAGGGCCTAGCTCACTGTGGGTGATGTCACTGGGTGGTCCTGGGTAGTAAAGAAAACAAAAGGCTGAATAAGCCATGGGGGAGTAGCCAGTAAGCAGCATTCCTCCATGCCCTCTGCTTCAGTTCTTGCCTCAAATTCCCACCTCAAACTGTAGGATGACATACATCCTCTCCCCCTAAGTTGCTTTTTGTTCATGGTATTCAACTCAACAACAGAAACTAACTTAGATAATATATTTCCACCAAATTCCTCCAGACACTTCAGTTGTCTGTGTTCATGGTTGAGGGGCAATACAGAAGGTGCTAGGTTTGTGCATGCATGTGCAACTACACACACACACACACACACACACACACACACACACACACACACACACACACACTCATATCCTCAGGGTTTGATATTGTTGAGTGTTAAGGGCTCTTTGTAAATTTTTGAACACTAGGCCTTTATTATGCCTGTATTTAGCATCCAGTCTGTGGATTGTCTTTTTTCAATCTCACAGAAATATCTTTTGTAGAGAGGCTTTAAAATGTAATAACTTATCAATTAATTCTTCTTGGTATGTCTAAAAAGTTTTCACTATGTCTGGGTTTGTGGCTCAGTGATGAAGTAATTATCTCCTATGTGTTAGGCCCTAGGTTTGACACCTATAACACAAGAAAGGAAAGATCCCACCAAACCCAAAGTCACCTAGATTTTAGCTCATGTCTTTTGGGCTTTTGAATTTTGTGTCCTATGGTGAGTATATTAGTTTTCTATTGCTGTAGCAAACACTGTGACAAGAGCAATTCATAGAGATTGTAGAAAACTAGTCCTAACTGACATTGTTCCTCCAGCAAGGCCAGAGCTCACAAATCTACCCAAATAGTGAAACCAACTGGGGACCAAATATTCAAGTGTGCTCATAGGAGACAGTCATCTTCAAACCACCACAGTTCATTTGAAGTTAATTTTTGATTAAGGTGGCATGTGTTCTGTACCTTTATCTTATCTTATTTCTTGCCATGTGGAGATCCATTATTCTAACAGGATTTATCGAAGAGACTTTGCACCTAAAACATTATTTTATTTTGTGCTGAGATGACTTAACAGTTAAGAGCATGTATTGCTTTTCCAGAGGACCCAAGTTCAATTTCCAACACCCAAGCTGGGTGCTAAATTGCCTCTCACTTCAATTCCAGGGGACCCAACATCTCTGGACTCCATGGGTACCCAAACACATGGCACACACTCACATAGACCTATACATGATTAAAAATTAATTTTGAAATTTTTATATGAGCAGAGCAGTGGTGATGCATGCCTTTAATCCCAGCACTCAAGAGGCAGAGGCAGGTGGATCTCTGTGTGTTCAAGAGCAGCTTGATCTACAGAGTGAGTTCCAGGTCATCCAAGGCTGTTGCACAGAGAAACCCTGACTCAAAAAACAAAACAAACAGATAAACAACAACAACAAAAGTATGTGTATGGGTGTTAGGCCTGCATGTATGGCTGTGTACTAAGTACATGCCTGTCACCCAAAGAGGTCAGAAGAGGGCATCAGAACCTATGGGACTGGAGTTACAGATGGTTGATAGCCACCATGTGGGTGCTGGAAACTGAATCCAGGTCCTCTAGAAGAGCAGCCAGTGCTCTTAACTGCTAAGTCATCTCTCCAGTCATATTTGTACCTTTATAGACACAAATATGTGTTGACTATGTGTGTGTAAGTCTATGTATACCTTTATATAGGTTTTCCATATTCACCATGCAATTTGTATCTGGATGCAATTAACAATATTTCTACTGGAAAGTGCAGAAACCAAGGATGATAGTAAACAAGGACATTCTTCCCAGGCCAGGATCTGTTAGGGAGTGGGTCAGAGTTCCAGCCTGCACCTGTCTTGCCGAGTCTAGGTATTTTAGTGTCTCATGCTGTCTAATGATGCTAGACGAGGATGTGACTTTTAACACCCTGACCTGACAAGGTATTCACCAAGGGCTAAATTCCAGTGACCTTTCCCCTTCAGGGTTTCTGGAATCTTGGCTCAACCAGCTGTGATGGAGACCTCTCACTCATGGCTCCTTTGGACTTTTACCATTTGTTACAGTATTGAGGCAGGATTAATAGCATCCTCTGTGTGACCTGGACCACAACTGAATTTCCCTGATTCAAACTGATCCTTGTCACTTTGCCTTAGCAACTGTCCTATTGCTGTGAGAGACACCATGACCACAGCAACTCATGTAAGGAAAACATTTAATTGGGGCTGGTTTATAGTTCAGAGGTTTAGTCTGCTGTCCTCATAGCAGGAAGCATGGCAGTATGCAGGCAGACATGGTGCTGGAAAAGGAGCCAAGAGTTCTGCGTTGGGATCAGCAGGCACCAAGAAGAGAGAGTGACCCTGGGCTTGGCTTGAGCTTCTGAAACCCCAAAGCCCACCCTCCGTGACACACTTCCTTCAACAAGGCCACTCCTCCTAATAGTGCAACTCCCTAAGAGCCTATAGGAACCATTTTCATTCAAACCACTACACACTTTCATGAGCATGGTCACTGAGGGCTTCCTCTTGTTGGTCGGAAGGCCAGCTGCTTAATGGGATCATTGAACTTGAGCACTGTGCAAAAACCTCCTAGGAGGGTGAAATACAGGTTGGTTTTTTTAAAATGTGGAATATCTTGGTTTTCAAGCCAAAAGTCAGTTTAAAAAAAAAAAATCAGGAGCTGGAGAGACGACTCATTGGCTAAGAGCGGCATTGGCTGCTCATCCCGGGTTTGCCTCCCAGCACCCACAAGGAGGCTTACAATCACCTATAACGCCAGCTCCAGGGGAACTGATGCCATCTTGTAACCTCCATGGTCACTTGGCGAAGTTATGTTATATACAGAAAGGAGCTGAAGAAAACACTTTAAAGTCACTCTCCCTGTATACTAGAGGTGGGGGAAGGCACACCAGAAAACCAACTGATTAACATTGCTTCAGGATTCTCTTTTGTTTAAGGGTCTAGGCAGAGGGAACTCATTATTCTGATAGTTTAAACTGGCTAGCCTAATTTCTTGGAAAGTCAGTTTAGTTTCAGCTTGGTGGTGTGGAATTTTTTTGTTTGTTTTGTCCTTTTATTTTTCTAGACAGGGTTTCCCTGTGTATGGTTGGAGCCTATCCTGGAACTAGCGCTTGTAGACCAGGCTGACCTTGAACTCATAGTGATTCCCCTGCCTCTGCCTCCCAAGTGTTGGGACTAAAGGTGAGCACCACCATCACCCAGCCTGGTGGTGTGGGAGGGACATTACCATTTTGATTTTCAGCTTGCTCTGTGGGAGCCTAGTATACTAACTTAGTCCCAAACAAGGACAGCCTGTAATTTTTCAGAAAACATATTTTTTTATATAAATGGCAATGAAATAATTCATAGAGGACACACAATAAATGAAGTGGTCAAGTTCTCATTGGATGCTGAAGGCAAAGCTGGCAGGCTCTGATAGATTAGAGGCTCTCCCTCTGTGAAGACTGGGATACCCTTTACAGTGAGATCCGCTGATAAAGGCTTCCAAAAGTTCAGGAGACCTCCTTACAAGATCGGCATACCGGTCATATCATTTCATCACTGCGTGATTTTTCCATTCGCTGTTTTAAAACAACGTGTGTTTGGTGCCTTATTATAATTCCAAACACTGCTCAAAGTGTTCCTATGTCATCGACCTCCCTCTATGTGTTCATTAAAACTGTCTGCTGGGAAGTATAAATTAATAAATCATTGGTTAATTCCACAGGAATATCATATCTGTGGCTGACAATGACCCCCATTATTGATAAAGGACGCTTAAGAACACACATATCATCCTTTTCTCTTTTTTTTCCTACGAAGACTGCGAGGCCATGGCGGTATTTATATGGTCTGTTCCCCTCACCCCATGTCCCATGATTATTGGGCCTTTATGTATATGCATCTAATTTTTAAAAGCTTTTTTTTGTGTATTTGTGTTTTGTCTGCATATGTCCGTGCATCATATGCTTGAGTTACAGACAGTTGTGAGCCACCATATGGGTCCTGGGAATTGAACTGGAAAAGCAGTCCGCGCTCTTGACCACTGAACCATCTCTTCAGCCCCATAGACTGTAGTTCTTGATTTTGGAGCAGAGATCTGAAGGAGTCTGGGAGGCGAAGAAGAGATTTGGGTACTAAGCCTGGGGTGAGTCCCTCCAGGGTGAGCTGCCACCACTGGCCCTAGCGAGGAAGTACCATATCAAAGGGAGGGGTTTTGGGGCCTTTCCTGACAAGGGCGAGGCTGAGGCGTTAACTAGGGCATTATTGTAAAGAAGTCCAACGACAAAAGATTTACAACCAAGTCCTAAAATTTCTTTAAAGTGTGTCTCTCATCCAGTTTGGAGCATGAAACCTGGTAAGGTTAGTTGTCAATGGCTCTCCATGTGGGGGTTGGCACAGCTCAGCCTCTGTTACCCACCAACTCTGGCCCAAGCAGGCTTGAAGCTTCTGGGGACCAAGGACAAGCGACAGGGAAAGCCCGGTTTCGGGTGTCCCCGCCCACAGGGGCGCGGCCGCGCGGCGCTGTCATTGGTGGCCGAGAAGGTGACGCGCAACACTGGCCGTGGCCGCGGGGCCCGCGGAGGGCGGCGCGCGGCTGATGAAACCGGCTCGGATCCCTCCCGCGCGCGCCATCCCCTCCTCCAGCAGGTGTGAGCGGTTCTTTACCAGCGGTCCCCACCCAGCTCAGCATCCCGTTGCCTTCTCGGTGAGTACGCGACTCGGGTGAATGTCCAGAAAGCTCTAAAAGCCTGGGTCACCTCTCTGTGTGTGGGAACCCAGGGTCTGGCGTGGCCGCTCAAGCGAGGCGA